TCTGTATCTCTTTGTTAAAACTGTAAGAGTGTGGCCAAAAGATTTTGACACGGCAACCAATAATACCTGCTGCAGTTGTGAAACTGTTTTCAATGTTTTAAAATGTCTTCAAGTCTATTCGTTTTTGTTATTCTCCTAAGTCATAAGTCTATGAGTTAGTTTGGGGCTGGTGGAGTTAATCTCCCTTGACCTTATGGGAAAATTGAGGCCCCCAGAAGTTAAATGACTTGCACAAGGGAATCAGCTGATAGGCCAAAAGCAAAACTGCTCTGCTTCAAACCCAGTGGTCTTCCATCCTGAAATATTTCCTCAAGTCTCATTTTGACATAAAAGGGGGCTATATCATCTGTCCAAGCAATTTCATCACCTAAATCTATATCATTGAGTATTAGAATAACAAAGAGGGTTATCTAGCAACAGAAAGCAAAAAAGGGGGGGACTGGAATTGGCCCCTCACTGCTGAGAAAATGCTCAGGAAAAGTAGTGCAGGAGGTCAGATGCAGGAGTTTGAGCAGCCCAATTTCCAAGGCCAAGTCCAGCTAAGCCTACTGGTGAAAACCAAGTCCTTTTCGCTTGCTGATGGGTGGGCCAGGGTTGGGGCTCATGGGTAGGGGATAGGGAGAGTAGTGGTTCACTACACCAGTAAAGGCATTGACCTTTGGTTTGTAATCTACAGAGCCTCCATCTCCCTCCAAATGGTAGAAAGATCACTTTTCACACTTGATTCCCATTTCCCGAAAAGAACCTTCTATTTTAGGTATTCAGTTATATTCAGCAAGTAGTATATATATTGAACACCGAGGTCAGCACTGTGCCAGTGTTAGAGAGAATTGCTATTATTATTATACAAATGCAATATTATGAAAGTACAGTGTGCTACTATCAAATTCAATATTAGGGAAAGTACACTGGGCTAGCATGGCACTAGGAGTTTATATTCTAACTCAAGAAAACAGGCCAAGAGGACAAATTTGGGGGCCTAGGAAAGGACCCAGATGAACTTTTTGGCATCTTCATAACTTCTAGTAAAAATAAACGAATGATTCAATGAATGCTTTACAAAATCAAGTGACTTGAAATTTTCTGTATCTAGAAATATCTCAATTAGATCTAAAACAGCAAAGGAGGCCAAGTACAATGGCTCAAGCCTGTATAATCCTAGCAATTTGGCAGACTGAAGCAGGCAGATTGCTTGAACCCAGGACTTCAAGACCAGCCTGGGAAACATGGCAAAACCCTGCCTACCAAAAAATAAAAATAAAAATAAAAATAAATTAGCCGGGTATGGGACTCCTACCTACTCGGGAGGCTGAGGTGGGAGGATCACCTGAACCTGGAAGGTTAGGGCTGCAGTGAGCCAAGATCACATCATTGCACTCCAGCCTGGGTGACAGAGTGAGACTCTGTCTCAGAACATAAATAAAATAAAATAGCAAAGGGATTAAGATAAATCTTTCTGAGAGACAAAAGGGATTCTTGAGTTTACATTTAATTCCCAATGTGGCAGCATCTTCCCATAAACCAAGGAGTTACTAGGCTAAGTAACTCTTTAGAGTAGTCTTATGAATATTGGGATGTAATTTAAGAGATGTTTTCCTCTTTGGGAGTATCTAATTCACCTTGAATATAGGTTCTCATCATGCATAATGAATATTTTTCTCCACCGTTGCACACTAGATTCGTGTACCACAGTGAAGGTTGAGTGACCCAATAAAATCACAAAGGATAACCAAGCTGCTCATCTTTTCAAGGCTTTTTAGCATGGTCTGTATTTAGATACTTTTTTTTAATGATAGTTTTTCCATTCCAAAAACTGGGTATGTAAATAAGGAGCGCTGAAAATGCATGGCAGCACAACCAAACTCCACATGATGTTTGCAGTTCAGCTCTCATCACTTCGTCTTAGTATTTCTCTTAACTCTTCATGGCTTATGCCCTGGTAATTTCAGTCTCCAACTGGGACCCATGCTTACTTTCTTTTCCAGATTTCACCATTCCAAGGAAAGAAAACCTCAGACCTTGATTTCTTGGCATAATTCCCTTTAGCACAGCTCAAGCCCAGTTCACTTTATAAGAAGTGTAAACTTTTTTTAAAATTTCACTTGAAATTTAGATGAAAAGAGTGAAATTCTAATCTTAAATTGTACACACCAGAAATAATATAGAATTATAAGTCAGAGGATCTGAGTCTGGTCCTGGTGCTGCAGCTAGAAGCAGTGTTAACTTAGGCAATTCAGTTAGTCCTTCCAATGCTCATGTTTTTATCTGTAACATGGTGGTTCAGAATGCATTCTATAATGGATGCCCACCTAACCATTAACTCTTTGGGTGACGACTGTGTTCCAGCATATATTCCATTCCATAATGGATGTCCACCTAACCATTAACTATTTGGGTGACTACTCTGCCAGGTGCTGGGAAATCACAGAGATGATGAAGGCATGAACCACACCAACAAAGAACCGTAATTCCTTGTATCCACTGGCTGCTGATTGACATTAAGCTCTGCTGAGACAGGTGTCAATGCTGTCAGACCAACCTGGTGGCTATTTTTTTTAACCACAAAAGCCATATTTTAAGAGAAAATGGTAGTCTATTTTCCCCAACCCAAAATAGAAATAGGGCTATAATATTAGGTCTAGTAGGATGTACAAGTCCTATGCAAAGATGCTGGGTCAGATTAAGGGAAAGGAGATCTTGGAATGAATTCCAAGCATCTGTTTCATTCCCTGAAAGCCTCTCTTTGCTAAATATTTGGGGCGGCATTTCCCTAAATGTGCTCCATAGTGCACTCGCTCCTCAGAACGTTAGTGTTCTGTAAAAAAAGGTTCCAGTATTCCAGAATTTGGAAAAATCCTGGGCAGGAAAGTTTAACAGGTTTCCTTAAAGCAGGTTTTCCTGGTGCCTCTATGTCTAAAGTGGCTCTAACAGAGCAAGGAAGCATGTTTCGAAGGACTAACAAAACTTGTCTGACCGTAGAACTTGTTTGTTGTTTTACAGAACATTCCATGGAACCAATCCTCTATGAAATGCCATTAGGACACTTCTGGAAATGATTATTTTTAAAAAAATATATGTCTTTTACACAAAAACCTGTACATGAATATTTATAGCACCTTCTTCATAAAAGTCCAAAAGTAGAAACAATCCAAATATGTATCTACTGATGAATAAATATTAAAGATGTGGTAAAACAATATAATGAAATATTATTCAGCCGTAAAAAGGAATGAAGTACTGGTATAACATGAACGAATCTTAAAAACATGGTAAGTGGAAAGATGCCAGGTACAAAAGACCACACATGATATGATTCTCTTGATATGAAATGTCCAGAGCAGGCTACGTAAAGTAATGGAGTGCTTGCTAGAGATTGGGGTGGGGACGAATATGAAATGACAGCTGATGGATATGCGTTTTCTTTTGGTGAGGGGTGATAAAATTGTTCCAAAATTGTATTGTGATGATGATCATACAGTTCCAAATATACTCAAAATCATTAATATGTATACTTTAAATAGGAAATTGTTATGTGAATTCTATCTCAATAAAGCTGTTAACAAATACATGTCTTTGTGAAAAAAGAGGACTAACTGAAAGGGTTCAGGCCTATGTTTTTGTGGGTTATCCACTGACAGTTACGATTTGTCCTCCCAGTGGTTTGCATGATATAGTGGAAGGAGCTGACCTACCTAGTTTACAACCCAGTTGTACCGTTTAACAATTAAGTGGCCACAAAAAAGTCCTAACCTCATCCAAGACTAGAAATAACAACAGGTCCATTGTGAGGATTAATGAACTCATGTATAGAAGTCCTTTTGAAAAGTATAAACATTTAAAAAATGTGAATTACTATTTTACTGCAAATAATTCATAGAATGCCTTGGTGCACTATAAAATCATTCACCAAGGCTCAGTCTTCTCTGAGATAACAGAATTCCTTCATCACTGGGAGGTTATGAGAATTAAATGGGTTAGTAACACATGTAACACTATACTTAACACCTAACATTCAATATTTATCACTTAATTTCTTATTTTTCTTGCCAAGAGTACTTACCAGCACAGTTTCCACACACTGTGGTTTTTCTAAATTTCATTCTTCTCATGTCTCCATCTTTTGGACCATATCCTATATAATTCCTCCCTTTCTCTTTAGTATCTCTTAGTTATTTATAAATCATCATATCCTTGTTTTCCTGTCTTTCTTCTAGGCTATATACGTCAAATTATTTTCATTGCTTCTTAAACACATGCCCTTTAACCCATATTGTAGGTTTCTGGCTGGTCTCCAATGTGTCAGCATCCTCTTTGTTCATTGGTTCAATTCTCTAGGTGATGATGGTGATAATTAGAAGGAGACTAAAAAGAAAAAAGAAAGAACCAAACCTCTACCTGGGAAAAAAGCTACTACCTTCTGTTTCTTAAGGAGCAATAGTTTTTAAATGGCAATGTCACCAAATATAGGTGCATACTAAATACTGGTAGAGTATGATGTACATTTATAGTAAGTGCTAATGAGCTGAGCCTAGATGAGCAATAAGGATACTGTGCATCTCTCCAAGAGTCAGCAGATTAATACTCTGTAAAACTTCAGTCACTTTCTAGTGAAAACTTCATAACAAAGATACCTTATGAATCAAATGAGAAATATGAAAATACAGATTTCAGAAAACATGAAAAGGAGAAAAGAAATAGGACTCAACAGATCTACTTACTCGTTTTGTTTTCTTCCTTTGTAGATTAGGGATTCAATAAAAGTCTTTTTTGGGTCTATGATTCTAAGTCTGTGATTCAGGTAAGAGGAGGATGAGGACTGAAAACCTACTTGGCAGGTACTATGCTTACTATCTGGGTGAAAAAAATAATCTGTACACCAAACCCCATGACATGCAATTTACCTGTATAACAAACCCGCACATGTACCCCTGAGCCTAAAATAAAAGTTAAAATAAAAAAAATCAATAATTCTAAAATAAATGAAGAGATTATAGTCATCATTCATTAGTTAATTCGTTTAATAAACACTTATTGAGTGCCTGTAGTATACAGGAGCATACCTCATGCAGTGAGTACTACATGAGAGGATACGTCACAGGAGAATACCTCACCCACACTGGTAGTTCAGCAAAAGCTTTCTGGTCAACATGACATTGAGCTAGGTCTTAAAGAAAATGCAGTTGAAAGGAGGAAGAATATTTCAGGAAAAGGGAAGAGCTTATGCAAAGGTACAAAGGCCTGAGAACAGCCAACATGCTCTGGGAATCCATTATATTTATAAATGCACAGTACAAACAACGTGGCTGGTATGGATGTTTGTGAATGACAGAGCACAGTCTGCTATGAGTACCCAGTATATTTTCTAGTACCTAGTGTAGTGTGTCCTGCTGAGGAATTTGGATTTGTCCCACAAGCAACAGGGAATAGAGATTTTTAAATGAACAAGTGACATAATCACATTTGCATTTTAGACTTGTTTGGGAATATAGAAAAGAAGTTAAGAGGACAGGTGTAGAGGCAGGAAGATCATTTGGGCAAAAAAATGACAAGGGCCTTCATGCCTCTACACTTGTCTTCTTATTTCTTTTCCATATTCCCAAATCTTTTCCAAAATAGGTTGGTGACCTAGGGGAGACCATCCTTTTGAAGGGACTTAGCTGTGAAGGGAAGGAGAGAGGGCAGTAGCTAGAGGAAACATGAGAGGGTTTTCTTTCTTATTTTCAGGATGAATATGTCATAAATAAGTCTGTTTGATAAGAAGGAAGAACTAATGGAATGTAAAAGGCTGAAGGGATGTAAAAGAAAGGAGATAATCAATGAAATGAGTTTTACAAAAATATTCCTAATTAGAGTCCTTTAAATGGGATACTCCTCATGGGCCTACAAACTCTTATATAATTTTGCAAAAGAAATAGATTCCCTCCAAGCAGCACTTTAACTGTAGAAATCAAGAAATACTTGTGGTGTTGCTCTATCATCTAGAGAATATCCTTATAGCCATTAAAGTGTCCTTATTTAATTGTAAAATGAGACTATGCCCATTCATTTTGTTTCTCTTCTCTCCTTCTCTCCCTCTTCTCTCCCATTCCTTCTTTTAAGCCATGACTTTTATTCAGGGCTACAAATGGAAGGGGATGCATCTATTCCAAGCCTTTGTTCAGTCTAACCCAGGTGCTTTTTAGTTTTCAATTTACGTGCAGAAATTGAAACAGAGAGAAGAAATCTCACCAAAACCATTCATGCAGTCCTGTGAGATGGCTGCCTCAGGAACTGGGGGAAACAATGGGATTCTGGAAAGCAAGGCCTGAAACTCCTCTTTGTTGTAGGAAAGCCATACTGCTAATCAAAAGAAAATTAGGAAAAACCAGCAACAGGAAAAGAAAAGGAAGAAATCTAATAAAATGCATCCAGGTTTGTAACACTGTGTTCAAATTCAAATTCTCCTGTTTCTAAGCAGCCACCATCACATTGTCCATCTTTCTATCTGAATGAACACGTCTGGCCTTTGAGTCTTGGAATAGGGGAGCAGAAACTCTAGAAAAAAATATTTCTTTTACACCTTTCTGTTGATCTCGCTTATCTTTATGTTAAGTAACAAAGTAGTTCATTTTAAAAATTAGAACATTCAATAGCTTAAAAGCTGAATTGTTAGTTTTTAAAAATAAAAATGACATACAGATTTTATTAAAAGCTCTAACAGAACAGAGGGTATTAGGAAAAAGATAAAATTCCCTTCAGCCTGTCATTGGCCTAGGACCCCTCCCCAGAGGTAATCGTTGACAGTAGTTAATTGGATATCTTGCCAGAAATTCCCTGAGCATGTGTGAGCAAAAATATGATTACATTTCATTTGAAAGGAAGACGATGGCAGTTATGATCACTTGGTCCCTATGCTGCCACAGTCCTGGGCTTTGTTTCTAAATCTTGTGAGTGAGTAAGTAGGTCTTTTTTTTTTTTTTTTTTTACCTCTTTTCCAATTGAATTAACTAATATGGGCATGCCAACTGCACATTATAGTCTTATTTGGTAGGGATAAAGTCCAAAGTAGGTGTTAGAAGTGCTCAGAGGGAACTTCAGCCCTCTGATCCTCCTCTTTCTCCTCCAAAAGGGAAAAGCAGCTTTGAAAAGTGCAGCCCCTGCTGAGGTCCATCTCTGACCGCCTCCAGGCTTCTCTCTAGAAGCTCTGTCCTTTTCCCGGCTGGAGCCCTTCCTCCTTGGATGGGGAAGGCATCCTGCTGCTGCTGGCTGAGACTTAATGAGTATCCAGTTAAACAGAAAGCCGAAATCCTCTTTTCTGAAGACAAGAGAGGATAGACTTGAAGTAGAAAACTATGAACTAGAAAGTAAATGAGGAGGAATCAGAGTTTGTCTTAAAATAATAAGAAGAATCTTTTTTAAAATTCTCACAATGATCTGCTGTTTCCCCACGTATCAGTTTTCACGGATCCGCTATCTGAGAGAGCTCTCTTTCATCATATTACATAGCTACAAACTGCTTTAAATGTGCAAACCTATGCCTTTGCTTGCTTCTGTTGACAAAAGATAACCCTCCTATCTGTTTCAGCTTCAGCCTTTCCAGTCCTCAGTGACCTGAACAAGTCAATGAGCAAAAAGGGAACATAGACTCCTACTTTTTGGCATCGACCCAATTTTCCAATCTTCAAAATTCTCAGCCAGTTTCCCTCTCTTCATCACTGCATTGTGCTACTTGAAAGACACAGTGAAAATAGCTATGGGAACACAAAGAAAGAAAGAACACACACCATGGGGTTAGCGAAGAGGAAACCCTCTTAATAGATTTCAAAAGAATAAATCCTGGAGCAATGCTGAGTCTTAAAAGATTTACCAGAAATGTAGGCAGAACTCCAAGACTAGGAGGCTGGAAAAAATTAAGATATTGGGCATTGTAAGATAGAAGATAAGGAGAGGAGAAATCCCAAATGAATTAATAATCAAATTCATGTATGGCTTCTCGTTAACAAGAATCCCAAGACTAAACCTGGTTACTCTGCTAGTTGTAGTAAATATGATGTAATCATCTGCAAAACCTTATTTCTGAAGTAATTTCATTTACTCTGGGCTTTTCAGGTAGCCAAATCCTGCACAAAGGAAGAACTTTCTAGTAATTTTTAAAAATCAAATATTTTCCATAGTAGTATTGCCTGGTCTTACATTCTGGCAATACTTTCCCAGAAATATTGAAATCTATAGATTGATTGAACCACGGCAGTGTCCTCAGTAACTTTTCTCTGAGTTATGAACTCATAGGGGTATATGCATTGCAAAAAACAAAAACAAACAAACAAAAAAATTGAACTATAAGAAGAATTAGCCTAAAGATGCCTCAGGAAAAATAGGTGGGGCTGGGCGCAGTGGCTCACACCTGTAATCCCAGCACCTTGGGAGGCCGAAGCAGCGGTTCACTTGAGGTCAGGAGTTTGAGACCAGCCTGGCCAACGTGGTGAAACCCCATCTCTACTAAAAATACAAAAACTAGCCGGGCATGATCGCTCACACCTATAATCCCAGCTGCTCAGAGGGCTGAGGCATGAGGATTGCTTAACCTGTGAGGCAGAGGTTGCAGTGAGCAAAGATCATGCCACTGCACTCCAGCCTAGGTGACAGAGCGAGACTCCACTGCAAAACAACAACAACAACAAAATAGGTGTATATTTTTCTTTATTCCAGTGTGGGCTCTGGCAACATATGAAGGCATTTAATATATAATTTGGATTTATTGGCTTTTTCTTTAAAGGTCGTAGAGATAGATAGATTCATTGTATAGATGAGTATGACTAATACACAAATTTCAATAAACTTCAAGTTGTATTGAAATGTTAATAGCTTGGCTGCAAACCAGAAACACTCATCAAACATTTAGGGTTTACTGGCTTTTTTGGTGTTTGGAACTCTGGGGGCAAAAGAGAAGATAGAACAGTTTGGTTTTTTTTCTTTGAACTAATGGGCGCATAGATTTGTCTAGAATAGAGAAGCAGAGAGCCTGTCTGCAGAGTACCTGTCAGAAATGCTGAGAGATAATAAAAGAGCACAGACAGAGGCATTCAGGGACAGGCATCAGAGCAGAGGTGTCGTGGGAGGGGGAAGGCACACGGGCTCCGGTGTCATGAGATGGAGACTGGCAACCTCTACAGTGGCTTATCCAACAGATCCCTCATTTTGTTCAGACATTTGTCAGAGAACCTTTGATATCAAGAAAAATGGTTCTGACCTCTAGTCCACGTAGAAATGCTCACACGATCTTGTTCTTTCATTCTTTCTGATGAGACTTAAGAGGAAGTTGGCTGAGGAATTCTGCTTCTGGTAAAAAGCTAGAGGTGTGTAAAGGAGAAGGTCTCTTTTTGCCCAGCTGTCCTTGGGCCAACCCTTTGCCACTTCTGGCCTTTTCATGCTGAGCAGCTTGTGGCTGTGGCAGCCACATTGCAACCATGAGGGGATGAGTCTTTAGATGAACAGCCAACATGCTGGGTGGGAAGGCAGAAGGATAAAAAGATCCTAGGTCTTTGATGACCCCACTGAGAAGACGAACCAATGCCAGCAACTGCCTATCTCTAGAATTCTTGTTATATGAGAATCATAAGTCCCGTTTGTTTTATAACTTAGCCAGTCTCTCATTGCTGGCTATCACCGTTGTTTTCCAATATTTCACTATCATACATGATACTGAGACAAATAAATACAGCCATTTTTGCACACATCCATGATTGTTTCCTCAGATGTGTTCTTAGGAATGAAATTGCTGAGTCAAAATAGTTAATATAAAGCTAAGTTTCCAAAAATGTTATACAAATTTATAATTTCTTCATAGTAGTTTGGGGAGAGGATATCCCTCCACCACTTTGAAAATATCGAGTATTTTGCCAATTTGATAGATCGTTTTAAAAAAGATTGGCCGGGCACGGTGGCTCATACCTGCAATTCCAGCACTTTGAGAGGCCAAAGTGGGCAGATCACGAGGTCAAGAGATCAACACCAGGCTGGCCAACATGGTGAAACCCTGTCTCTACTAAAAATGCAAAATTTAGCCGGGTGTGGTGGCGGGCACCTGTAGTCCCAGCTACTCGGGAGGCTGAGGCAGGAGAATCACTTGAACTTGGGAGGCAGAAGTGCCAAGATCACGACACTGCACTCCAGCCTGGGCGACAAAGCGAGACCCCATATCAATAAAATAAAATAAAATAATAAAATAGATTCCCCTTTTCTGCTTTAATTTGCTCTTCCATGTGGTGAAGTGCTTTTTCATCTGTTTGTGGACTATTGTGTGTTGGTCTGGAGCCATGCCTATTGCAGTACTCCTTCAGAACTAAACCTCTTAAAAAGGTCATGCACTCTCTGTGGCCACTTCCTCACCATTCCTTGATGTCTTAGCCCACTCCCCCACCAATCACCAATGACTCTACTTCATGAAATCCCAGGATCATTTTTCTAATCGCATTTCCCTGGATCTTTGGGTAATATTTGACAACATTTACCATTTCCTCTCAAAAACTCTCTCCTCATGCCTTCTCAGATACCACATCTGGCTGGTTTTCTCTTTGCCTCTCCATCTGTTCTTTCTTAGTCTTCTCCTCTACCTGACCTCTCATGACCCAGTCCTAGGTCCTCTTTCTAAGTGAGCTCATTTGTTTCCCATGGCTTTAGTTACCACAGATATTAATTACCCTATTTATAACTCCAACCCGAACTTCCCCCCGCTACGTAGGCTCCAGACTCATACATTCAACGGACAATAACATCTCTACTTGAATGTATCTCAGGAATCTCAAATTTAACATGTTCTAACACAAACCTCAGCGCTCTCTGCTTTTCTCCCAGACCTCCCTGTCACAGAAAATGTCATCACCATTTTCGGAGCTGCTTAGGTCAGAAACCTGAGGGTCATTCTTGGTTGCCCCCTCACACCTTCCTTTCCCACTCACAAACAAGTCCTATTGTTTCTCTTTCCAAAATATATCTGTTTTTAAACTTTCATGTTAAGTTCAGGAGTAGATGTGCAGATTTGTTACATAGGTAAACTGTGTCACAGGGGTCTGTTGTACAGATTGTTTCATCATCCAAGTATTAAGCCTAGTACCCATTAGTTATTTTTCCTGATCCTCTCCTTCTTCTGACCCCACACCTTCTGATAGGCCCCAGTGTGTGTTGCTTTCCTCTATGTGTCCACGTGTTCTCATCATTCAGCTTTCCCTTATAAGTGGGAACATGCAGTATTTGGTTTTCTGTTCCTGCATTAGTTTGTTAAGGATTATAGCCTCTAGTTCCATCCACGTTCATGCAAAGAACATGATCTCATTCTTCTTCATGTCTGTATAGTATTGTATGGTGTATATGTACCACATTTTCTTTATTTAGTCTACCATTGATGGACATTTAGATTGATTCCATGTCTTTGCTATTGTGAATAGTGTCAAAGTGAACATAAACGTTCAGGTGTCTTTATGATAGAATAATTTATATTCTTTTGGGTACATACTCAGTAATGGGATTGCTGGGTCAAATCGTAGTTCTGTTTTTAGATCTTTGAAGAATCATCACACTGTTTTCCACAATGGTTGAACTAATTTACACTCCCACCAACAATGTCTAAACATTCCTTTTTCTCCACAACCTCGCCAATCTGCTATTTTTTGATTTTCTAGTAATAGCCATTCTGACTGGTATGAGATGGTATCTCATTGCAATTTTAATTTGCGTTTCTCTAATGATCAGTGATGTGGGGTTTTTTTTTTTTTACCACATGCTTGTTGACTGCATGTATGTCTTCTTTTTAAAAGTGTTTGTTCATGTCCTTTGCCCACTTTTTAATGGGGTTGGTTTTTTTTTTCTTGTAAATTCGAGTTCATTATCGATGCTAGATATTAAATCCTTGTCAGGTACATAGATAACAAAATTTTTCTCCCATTCTGTAGGTTGTTTACTCTGTTGACAGTTTCTTTTGCTGCGCAGAAGCTCTTTAAATAGATCCCATTTGTCGGATTTTGCTTTTGTTGCAATTGCTTTTGGCATCTTCATCTTGAATGCCCATTCCTATGTCCAGAATGGTATTGCCTAGGTTGTCTCCCAGGGTTTTTATGGTTTGAGGTTTTACATTCAAAATATATCTTGACCCACCTGCTCCTCTCCCTCTACAAACCTCAGTCACAGTCAATGCCACCTAGACTAGTCTAGAACCCAGCACAATTTCCCATCTGACCACCCTGTTCATACTTACATCCTTCCAATCTGTTATCCATGTAGCATAAACAGAACATTTTTTTAAATGTAAAATTTGATCAGGTTATTTTTCTGCTTAAAGCCCTTCATTGGATTCACATAATT